GCTGGAGACTCTCCCTATGTTTAACCAGCATCAACGCCACAATTGTTCCAATCATATGAACCACGATTTATACGGCTTTTTGTCTCCACAACTCAGGTATTCCTGACCATTTAAGTAAGAATTTGTATCAAACCGAACTCTCACAGGTCTGTTTCTTTTCACGATGTTTACGCCAAACGAAACCGAGCAGCAACATGGGAGAGAGCGTGACAAATAATTTGACAGAGATCACATTTACGACATCAGCGACATTGTGAGAGGAAACGAATTCGCGTCCAAACGCATTCCAAAATAGTCCCATCACCCATTTCGAAACGTTGCTGCGAGAGACCCCAATCTAGCTGAGTAAGCACCAGGAAAGCTACCAAAAACCAATTATATTCTGTTGATTAGTCTTGCTCAGTTAATGTATTTTGATATGTCTGGAATCACAAGTACAGATAAGTGTTTGCGACTGTTTCCAATGATATGTTCGAGTGGGAATCCAAAACGCCAGGCCAATAAATTTATGGTTCCAGTGACTGCATCTTCGTCTTCTGAACTGCTACATGAAACTCGCCTGTTCGCTTCTGTCGACAATGCCATTTTGCCGTTCATTACGTAACAATGGACACCTGTAGACGCACGAACTCAAAGGCAAATAAATTCCCCCCCTAACGCACTTAACCCGTCTATTACAGGTCATTTAAGAATTCTGAAGAAAATGTGCCTTAGTTTATGCAGATTTTGTTTCCGAAAAGGGGAAAGCTATCGACTTTACAAAGGTCGGTGATTAAGAAGACCTTCGAGATGTTCGCATGGTACCCGATCCGTCTACCATCTGCAAGTGAATGAATGTTGCTCACATAGTCTGCACTCCGAGTCACATCTGTTTTAATATTTAATGGGAAACGGTAGATCAATTTGGCAAGGTATGTACAGCTGCGCTAACTTGCCTCAGAGGGAATAAAGGGCACATAGTTTGGAAATTTCAGAAACACTTGAACATGTCTAGTATTTTAGGAAATGCAGAAGTTAGAAGTGTTTCCGAGCGCAGGAAAGCCCTCATGCTTAATGCATGAACTGTCAAAAGCATATTTCATACAACTATTTAAATGAAAGGACTGCATGATACAACCCTTCTACAAAGTGTACTTGTAGTTGTATGCGCATCTGAGGCTGTGAAAAGGAGAAATATCAAGGAAGTTTACTTTTACAGCGATTGTAAATCAGACTGTTGTGTGTAAAGCTGCTTAAATAATTCATTCATTCAAAGAGTGTTTTGTGGATGTGATTCATCCTCTGCTACCAATATAAAGCATGGAAGGAGCGAAAGTAACAAGCATCGATTGGAGATTTTGCGCGAACATCGAGGGATCCATTTCCCTTTGCTTATCCTCAACTGCACTTGGAACACCAGTTCGTTATTTAGATTTTGCAAAAAAACCATTTGAACTACGTCTGGTGTAATGCTGTTCTATAACCGCCGGCTATTTCAAGTTACACCTGCAAAGTGAATTAACACCTTCAATTCTACTGTTGCAGTGTGACGTCAAATTGCTTAATCACCTTCTTTCGTCCTCTTTTTGTTTAATGGTCAAAACGCAAATGAGCATACTCTAGCTGCGGCCAATTCCGAGATCTCCCGAAGATAGTGTCCCTACCGTGGCCAACGATCATTTACATGCAGTGCAAGGGGTAGAGAAGGATCTAGGGCCTTTTCGATTCTCTCGAATGTCACTTCGGATTGTTCAGACGAGATAACAGGAAGCGGTGGCACGAAGAGCCGAGCGTTTTTTGGCATTTCTCAAGATGACATTTCCTTAGATTGACTTACACAGAACTACACATTCACCTCTGCGTTTTCCTATTGCGTATATAGGCCAGTGGACAATAATCTCAGTTAATATGAGTGGGTCAAATTGGATTCCCTAGCATTACTCACGCGATTATTCGGGAACCTATGGCAGTGTTGAACAATTTGAAAAACTCAACCCCCTTCCTTATTTTTACCATTAATGATCTACATACCTTCATCCGGAAAGACAGATCATTTCAGTTCATTCCATACGTATTTTTGAATTCAAATTCGACTGCAGTCCCCTACAATCAAACCGAGCGTAGTGGTTAAAGGGCGAACGTCATAATTGCAAAATCCCCAAAAAGCAAGAACGTGCGGATGAGGCTATTCGATTTCGCGCCAAAATGGTGATTTCACTCTGGTCGTGATTCGAACCGCCCATTCTTTCTTCTTTGAAAACCTTGTCCATCGAACACGAACCAGACGTGTATGGGATGCGTATGCAAGCTGTTTGGTGTTGCCAATCTCTGCGTCCCTTTCTGCCTCCGGTCTTTCTGGATTTGCCATAATACCGGGCCAGTGTTGTTGAGGAAGAAGCGGATGCTGCGGCAGATGCTGCCTAAGTCTGCCAACGTAATAAACTGGTTCATGCGCAAGTCGCTGTGTTGCGCTCTCCATGTGCGGTTTATATCATCGTCCGCGGTGGTCGGTGTTTTTTAATGTATGCCTGTATGTGTTTGCCGCTTCGCAGATGCGCTGAATCACTACGTGGACGGAATTGGGCACGAAACGCAGAAATCGGGCTGCGCAGCTTCCCCCCTTCAAAACGAGGGACGCACATGCGAGTTTAGTGGCACGCCTAGGCGCAAGATAACATCGCGTCAGGCAATGCTCTCAATGACCGCATCAGATGGCTAACTGGGTGGGAGAGTGGACTTCTGTCTAGGTTGGGAAGGGAAGGTGAGGTCGACTCTGCGAACTACGCCCCAAAATCACGCAGCACATGTCCTCACTAATAAGTAGTCTGCTGCGCTTTTAAACTATCACGATACGCCAAAAGTCCTGGTTTGGAAGGCTGGCAACCGAGGGGATAGCTCGGTTCCGTCATACCGGAAAGTTAGGCTGGAGTGGTTCCTTCTTACTATGGCCTCTATGGCAGTCCACCTCAGTTGGGATCCGAGACGAACACTTGTTGTCTCAGTGAAAATCTGGTCCACCATTTGTGGACCAGGTGCATTTTGGACGAGTTGGCGGATCTTTTGACCTTGTCAGGCACCGCATCCGACCCCGCCTCCGGTTGTCCTGATTCAGTCTTTTCCCTGGGGTTCAGAAGGGTAAAGGAGGAGAGGGCACGTCGGATGTCGTGCAAGACATCTACCACTATACACTTATTCACACGTAAGCCTTCGTCCGGCGTCCACTACGCTATGGGGCACATGAGGGACTTCCTCCTCCGCGATGGTCGAATTGAAGTACTTTTAGCATAATTTACCCTTACTACCATATGCATGTAGCCCACTTTTACTTTAAAAGGTACGTTTAGTGAACAATTTGTCATTCTGACAGCATAAGTACTGGCTGAAAAACCCAGACATGCCTGGTTCGTCGGTCTTGTGCCATTGTATGGCGCAACTGTGAAAGGTTCGGCTCATCAGTGGATTTCTGAGCGTCCCCCATGTGGTTTCTGATATACAAACTCCAGTTTTTATGCCAGTCTTTGTAATTTCAGATGAAATAGCCAGGGGCAGACGGCTGTTAACACGGACGGCTGGATGTACACTTTTCGGGTGTGTCAGGCCAGACTATGGGGCTTCCGGTCAACAGCTGATGATGCTGAAATTCCTTTCTTCCCAACGTCATGGTAAAGGGGAAACTAAAAAATCCTCTGACGCACATGTCGGCCGGTTGGGCGTAATGGTTGTCTTACTAGAACTTCTGCAAGGCACTTCTAAAAACAGGATGGGATGCACAACGAACGCGTAAATTTGGTGCTACCAGGTCTCCATCAGTCAAAGCCCGTCGACAGTATACCAGAATTTTCCTTTCAATTGTACACATATACATAATTTCTTATCAAAATTATACACTGGATAGTTATGTGGCTGGAATTAAAGAGGTCGTACTAGTTGACACAACACTATTTGCAAACTGTGCACTTGTGTTATGCACTGCAAACCACAGGATGACAAATGAAACAATCCCCAAGAGGACGATTTTTGCTAGTCAAATAAGACTGTGAAATGTTCCCTCATCTCAAGCATGCCACAATGTATGCAGCAGCTCACATATGTTGTCCATTTAGTACATCTGGTAATTACTCGACAGAATAGTATAGCTGAGTCGGAGTAATTTTGAAAAGAGGAATGAATACCAGTAGGTAGGAATCCCCTTGGAATTTATTTATGTGTCCTTCGGTTTTAGCAAAGCCAAGTGAAGGAAGTAGGGCTGCCTAGGTGTCTATTTCAAGTCGCAGACATCTTTCTGTAATTATTTTACGATTGACGACTCTTGACCTTGAAATACTTCTTTTAGTGCAGTTTGCTTGCCAGAAAAACTGTCATTGCCAATTACCCTACAGCATTTCTGTGTGCCACCCAGCTAAGCCTTTCAAAAGTACAAAAAATCCGTAAGGGTGATCACGCAGTGCCTTAATGACTTGGAATTGACGTTTGAAAAAAAGCCGACGAACGCACGACAGCAAGGACAGGGCTTGAGCAGAACCAGCGCTCTTGACTCGTGAGCTACGAGGCCCTATGGGGAGAAGTGAGTTAAGTCACATTAGGGCCAAGTTACCCACTCAGTCTACTGTAGAATATGGAATCCACCAAATGTGATACATTCGTGAAAAAAATAGCTTTTCCAGTGAGGGTATGGTTTATGGACTGGTGTTACTTCCTCCGGATAGCATTTGTGTTTAGCAAAAGAAGTGAACATCTAAGGACTTTGTGGGATCACAAATTCTGGTCTTCCATAATGTCACCAACTAAAAGAGGGCACTATCAGTTCAGTTTATTTGAGGGAAAGTTTGTGTGAACCTTTTAAATTTCTATCTGGTACACGCAGCGGAAGTATATGAAAAAGTTGGAAATGAAGCAATATGAAAGAATGAAGGCGAAATTTAGAGTTCCAGGTGTATGCATAAGTGAAAAAGAAGTGAAGAAGAAGAGCCTCTCATTTCCTCACAGACCTCCGAGGTCGGAGAATTCAATCGGGCGAAATCATGGTCTCCTTCGATGTGACGTCGCTATTCACATCCATCCCACCAAACGTTGCCCGCGAAGTCTTGCGCAAGAGACTTGAAGAGGCGTACGATGAGACTCAGAATGCCCTCAAAATTGAACACCTCATGAGGCTGTTTGAATTCTGCCAACAAACTTTCTTCACTTTTGCGGGAGAGACCTATAAACAAATAAAGGGAACCCCAATGGGCTCACCGGTCTCCGGTTTGGCGGCAGAACTGGTCATACAGGAGTTAGAAAAAATTGCCTTCCTCCAACATGAACCGGTGTTTTGGCGCCGTTACGTTGACGACACGTTCGTCATCGTAAAGAAGGACATGCTGGAACATTTCCGCAGCCTGCTCAACGCAGTCTTCCCGGATATAAAATTCACGAGGGAAGAAGAATAGGAACAGCAGTTGCCGTTCTTGGATGTGCTCGTCAGACGAAACCTTAACGGTGAACTTGAAACGACGGTTTATAGGGAGGCAACGAACATCACACAGCTTCTCAGTTTCCACAGCAACCATCCGGTGGCTCACAAACGAAGCTGTGTGAAGACGCTCTTCAAACGGATCCAAACTCATTGCAGCAAACCGGCGGACAGAGCACGTGAGGCCCGTTATCTCCGAGACCAGTTTGTGCAAAATGGCTACCCGAAGGCATTCATAAGTCGCTGCCTACGCGGTCGTCACCAGAGAACTCGAACATCAACGCCACCGACGATATGGCATTCTCTTCCATACATCAAGGATGTTTCAGAAGCGACCGAGCGCATTGCTGCGTAGCTAGGTGATGGAATTGCACACCGCCCCAAAACCACCATGCGCAGCAGGGTCATAAAAATCAAAGACCGGTTAAAACCTGAGGAGCAATCTGGAGTAGTGTATCGCATTCCGTGTCAAAATTGTCCTTGTAATTACACAGGACAGACTGGACGCATGCTCGGATCGCGCATACACGAACATGAACTGGCTCTGCGGCGAGGCGACGCATTATCTGAAGTGGCCGCCCACACCTACGAAATGGGTACGAGTTTAACTTCGCAGCCACGAAAATAGTCGCCCACGCCAGAAACAAAACAGTCCGAGAATTGATTGAAGTCTGGGCCTCGGATGAGAGCTCGGTCAATCGCTTTATCGATCTGGCGCCGGCGTACAGAGCCCTGCGTAGTCAACTCCAGTCGTGCGACGTCGGTTGATGATTGGGCCTAGGTGCCTTATAACTGCCGCTTGTCCTGTTTCTGCCACTACCTCTGACGATGGACTCCTGTACGAGTCTGAAAGCTCAGGATAATAAAGGAAGTGTTCCAGTGCTCGACTCTACATCTTCACAATATGAGAGAAAAACAAAGGGAATATCATGAACTGTACAGCTGAACACAGCATTACATACATAAACACTGCCAATAGAAGCGAAAAGACGAGTCCCTGGAAGCAGTCTTGAAGAAGAAGACACGATCGCCGGGACAAGAGCTTTATTAGCCTGACGTTTCGGATTCCTGCTCAAATCCATCATCAGAGACATAAGCAGATAAGGGTGGTTCATGCACATGTGGCTGCAGTATTTATAGGATGCCGT